TGGCCAAGCAGGTATTGGCCAAGCAGGTATTGGCCTAGCAGGTATTGGCCAAGCAGGTATTGCATAGGCTTAGCGCGTGGTCAATAACACATTTATTACATGCATACAATTCGACACCTTGACCTTGACCTTGGAATTGTTTTCCACACGGAGTACTAGGTAAAGCACTTGGAAGGTCGACAGGTTACACAATGTGGTTTATCAAGTACTTGCGTAGAAAAAAAATTGGAAGGTCAAGGGTAAACTTGTGTGCATGTCATGCCAATGGTAATGGCAGCCTGTTTGAACGGGCTATTATGGAGAAATATATTGCAAGCTGAGAAAGGTCCCTGATTGGCCCTAACCCTAGAAAAAGTCACCTGACATGACTGTAATGAGGTTTAGCGAGACAAATTATCACATTCGAGTAAGCACTCGAATGAAAGTCGAACTCAGCGTCGAAATGTGTGTGTTGTGGTAGAGTTTAGCAAACAGACTTTGCGCTGGCACAACGCTGACAGGTTGTACATGCGTACAGACAGAACAAAGTAGTAACTTTACGACTGCATGACACAAATGCGCGATTCATTTTTCCGACTGCTTTTCCAAAACGAAAAGTGCGAAAGCTCGCATTTCAGTCCGCGAACCGAAAAGTGTTCGCGAACTTGAAATTCGTGATACTAAACCCCGGTAATGGTGGGTCCTGACCATAAGGGAAAGGACCGGTTTCTATAAGCCAATTGCGCATTGCCAAATATGGAAGGTATGAGTAATACATGTGAGTACGCTGGGATCAGGAATGCACTGTTCAACACCCCAGACGACCATGCCCAGGTGGCTGTGTGGGGTTCATATTGTACAAATTACGTCATTGCGCAATGGACTTATTCCTGTACTGGTGATATACTAATATAAAGACATGTACGACAGCGGACATAGAAGCCCGTTGTGAAGTCAAGCGGCCACACGGGGCGCTGGCCTTGCAGCCGCGAGCACTGCTGGTCCATTTTTACAGTGTGTGCACGTGAACTGCGGTGCAGGTACGCGCTGAAAGCCGCAAGGGCGCCGACCCCGGGTTATCCCATCGGATTTCAATGTCCACGACAGACCCTCCCCTGGCCACACAGTGGCATCCATGCTGTGCAGTCTGGTATTATGGTTGTACTTTGATAGGTCACAGGCACAGAAGGCACACAGGTACAGAAGCGTTCAGGTCTCCTGCACCAGTGCACCACCCAAACACGTACATACATCCACCTCCCCACCCGCAATTATGTCCCTCAACACAGGACGACAATTCAGGCAAACCCATAGATGAGCTAGTACGCCCGCAAAAACTAAAACTCCGCACAACGGGCGTGCATGCCAACTGAGAATGCTTGAGAATGGCCACACAGAACTTTCATTGATTCTCAATGACATTATATTACAACAGCCAACGCAGACAGCATCCCATCGACATTCCCAGTTTCATTTTAAAAATTTCTTTGCCAAGTGGCCTCACGCATTGCGCGCACGGCCTGTTTGGCGGTATGCGCGTGTACGCACTTTACAAAAAATCAAAAAGCCAGGACTTCAAGACTGGTCAATGGAGAGCTCGACACAAAAAAAGCCAAGCACATGGCGTAGATGACTAGAAAGGAGGCTCACCTTGCGAATGCGCCTCTTCTTGATGCACTCCGCATCAAATATCTCTCCACCAGAAGCCATAACACAGCCAACAAGGTGAGTGAGCTCACGAACGACAGGAAAAATCCACACACACCGCACTTTTGTGCTTCACAACACAAACAGTCATTGAAAATACGGTGATTTTTCACCTGGCCGGCTTGATCTTTGAGTTGAGCTTGACTCCCTCACTCATGTACTCAGCGCAGGGCTACACCCGATCTTGACTTGAGCCAACTCAAGTCAAGTGACTTTTGGAGACACGGCTGCGCAACGCATGCGCGCTCTGCCCTGTTGTCCATCTGGACTTGCGCTGAGTATTTGAATGCCGTGAGGGGCCGAACGCTGTTACTTTAGCACACGGTAGCATTTTACACGATGAACCAGGGCTACACCGTAGCCGCAGACTGCAGACTGCAGTGCAGGTCAGGACCATCAGCCACAGACAGTGAGAGGTACAAACTCGTCCTGTGTTGTTGTTGTTGTGTCTTTATTTTACTTCACCATATGAACAGGCAAGACTGCATGTGGTGATGACGATGAACACGAACGCCGCCCGTTGCATATAATTATGGTACTTGACGTGTTCGGGACCGCAGGAATTTTACTCTGCGGCTCCCAGGATAAAATTTGGTGGTCGGATCCAAAATTTAATACCTCCGAACACGAAATTGAATGTTGTGATTGCTTCGACCATATCATTTTTGTTTAGCCCAATCGTGGGCGCCAAACTCCCGCGCTTCGAGACACTTGAGATTGTTGCTCCTTCTCTCAGACTCATCCTTCAAAATTAATTCTCCTCCTTTCTTTCAAGTTTCATCTTCTTCTCATCAGACATCACCCACTCTTTTCACTTCTCCTTCATAATTACAGTTGTGGCCAAAGAAATCCCACCCGCGAGTCAAAAGTAGCGCCACGTTTCCACTTCGATGCCGTCATGCATGTTGAATTGTTCGCAAAACGATCCGAGGGCCGCAGGGGCCGCATGAGCCTGGGCGCTGCTTTCGGAACGAGGGTTGGATTTCTTTGGCCACGGCTGTAGATACCGTGTACAGACTGTATTGTTATTGAGGTCTGTTCGATCGTGTGGTCCAGCGAATTCAAATAAAACAAACAAACCAATAAGCCAAACCCTCATCTCAGCCGTTTGGGTGGCTACGCTTGTGAGCATTGCCAAGCGGAAAATATTCCTGGGTTTGCAGACAGTCTCGGCTTGAACCATCGGATTGCTCAATCTGGAGGGTCCTAGCTGCAACCTCAGTCTTCCTCCAACTCCAAGCAAGACCGAGGCCGTCCGGAGTTGTTTACACCTCCAAGCAGGCAGAAACATGATAGTCTGGGCCTTGGCAAGGAACTTCCATTGCACAAACACCGTCTAGCCGGGTGAGAGCGTCCACTGAAGTGAAAAGTTTCTATTCCCGGAAAGATTGCATACTTTCTCCCTTCCCATTTACATCACGGTACCTGTACATGACTGTACATGTTTCGAATACACGCACAAATAGGAGATTCCCCCTAGGCCGCGGTCAGCCTTGGGGTAATCCTGAAATCATGAAAGAAAGAAAGACCCGATATACGCTAGGCGTCAGCCTTGGGGTAATCCTGAAATCATGAAAGAAAGAAAGATTAGGAAAGTCTGGAGCATGCTGGACCGGCTGTGCAAGTCGGCAATTGCGTCTTTTTCTGCTTCTTTTTTGGCATTTGACAGCTCACAAACTCCCTCCCTTGCTCCTGGTCAATAGACAGATAGGGAGCGCTTTGTTTCTTCAGCGGAATAGTTCACCTGCATGGACCTCTTATCTGCGGCCGTGGGAGCTCGAACGGCTGCCCGTACCATTCAGCTCAGCCTCGACTGTTGCCGATGGCTGCCAGGTCGAGACGATAATGCTGCTGTCGAAAACTAAAATAATTTTAAAATGCACATGACAGTGTACTTCGCCGCTGGAGTGGAAGAGGTGCTTGTATGCTAGCACGAGCACCACTCAAACCGATAGGAGCAAGCCGCAGCTGGTCCGATCGCAAATGCCATGGCTTTACTATCAGGCTGTCTCTCAATCTCATGATGCAGTTCTGTAACAAACTTCCCCTCGGGCGCGGGCCACATGACGAACACGCACCGGAGCAAAGCCCAAAGAGAGGGGAATATTATTGTGCAACTCAGAGCTTCCAGTCACTTTCACGATAATGAGACACATGAGGCACCCGAGGTGTTCCATGAGAGGGGAGAGGGACAAGAGGAAGGGGAAAAGTTGGACTGAGAAACTCAGCACAAATTACGTATGAACACATCGACACTTTTTTCTGACGTATGCACACATACATTACATTGTATGCTCCCGTGTCTACACTACAGCAACAAACTGCTGCATTTCGGATGCATACCCGGACTTTCTTTTTCCTACCTTTGCTCATCCCCACCGGGTAGCTCTCTCTCTCTCTCTCCTAGCATTGTAGCAACACGTTTAAGTGACGTTATGATAACTAAGTGGAACGGAAGTTGATCTAGTTGTTATGTACCAGTACAATCACGTCATGTACATGACCTTGGCTTTGTACATCTCACCCCCGGGTACAACACGATGTGGTCGTGCATGGCACGCATCAATGGAAAAGTCTGCCTTTGGCCCAGAGATATTCCAGGCGGCAACATACATGTACACACTCTACACAGCCCCATTGTGCTGTTACCGGACAAACTAAGTAAAAGTACAAAACAGTAAACATTTAGCCGGCTAAGCGCACAACCACAGTCAGTCACTGAGTGTGGGGGGGGGGGTTGCTAAATCGATCTTCGAGACAGTAAACATGCATAAATGCATGGTAATTGGTAGCACCTGACAAGACACACCCTAACATTGTTACCTAGGACGTTGTTGTTGTTGCTGTTGTTGTTGTTGTTGTTGTTGTTGTTGTTGTTGTTGTTGTTGTTGTTGTTGTTGTTGTTGTTGTTGTTGTTGTTGTTGTTGTTGTTGTTGTTGTTGTTGTTGTTGTTGTTGTTGTTGTTGTTGTTGTTGTTGTTGTTGTTGATGTTGCTGTTGCTGTTGCTGTTGCTGTTGTTGTTGTTGTTGTTGTTGCTGTTGCTGTTGCTGTTGTTGTTGTTGTTGTTGTTGTTGTTGTTGTTGTTGTTGTTGTTGTTGTTGTTGTTGTTGTTTGTATTTATTTTGATTCGCAAATTCAAACGGGCATAGAACCCAATAACATGAAAGCTAATATGAAAATTATAATGAGAATGAGAATTAAGGTGCTTAGATGTTCAGCGTAGAGTCAGCGGTACATCAGAGGGAGATCGGGTACAACAGAGGGAGATCGGGTACAACAGAGGGAGATCGGGTACAACAGAAAGAGAACAGAAAAAAAAACAAAACAGAAGATTTCGCTTGTCTTCAGCATCTACAGAGCACAGGTATAGGGGATTACCTGCGTGCGAAACTGCCGAGCGTGATGGATGGCACGGATGTCGCTGGGGAGGGCATTCCATAATACTGCACCCTTGCAAGCAAAGCGCCCCAGCCCCGCAACCGAATGGGAAACTGGCACGCACAGGCTCATGGCAGATTGGAGCCGAGTAGGGCCGGGTGCAGCGGGGGTTAGCAGGGCTTGCAACTCTGGACTTGCCAGTGCATAACGACAGCGCCACACCAGGTATGCTAGCTTCTGATTGAAGACTTCTGCCACACGGAACACTGCCATGCGCTCCAGCAGGTCGCAGGCAGACAACAACGGAGGGCGGCCAAAGACAGCACGGGCCCCACTGTTCTGCAGGACCTGTAGACGGTCGAGGTAGCTTCTTTGCAGTGAGCTAGACTAGAGTACGCGTCTGAGGCATACAGCAGGTCAGACATGATCAGCGATCTAAAGTAGGTCATGCGTGACTGGTGATTCAGGCAGCGGCGCATTCGCCAGAGTGCTCCGATCTTCTGCGACACACGTGCAGAACATTTGGCAATGTGGGCGTGCCAGGACATGCCGAAATCGATTGTGGCGCCAAGATAACGAGCACTTAGCACACTAGACAGTGAAATGGCATGGCAGACGACCTGTAGATCAGCTGTGTGCTGACGGCCGGCAGGAATTGGCACAACTTGGCTCTTGCCAGCATTGAGGACATGAATGCGCTTGCTTAAAAAAAACAGCGATCAAAGGAATGGGCCATCTACATGTATGTCACATTAGTACGAGACTCGTCCTCTGCCTTGGGTACGCATTTGGCCCAGACTCTGACCAGAGTTTGACATTGGGTAGTGGTGAAAATCACACATATCTAAATCGTGACTCAAAGGGTGCGTTTTCAATTTCGTCTTGCATCGTCAGTTACTCGTCGCGAACTTGTCATGGTTGCACCGTGAAGAGCGAACGGTAGCTCCTGAAACCGTTGATACATGTAGGTGAATGGTGGGACAGGCTAATAAGAAGAAAGAGAGAGAGAGACACAGAGAGAGACAGAGACACAGAGAGACACACACACAGAAAGACACAGAGAGACACAGAGAGAGAGACAGACAGAGACAGGGACGGAGACAGAGACAGACAGAGAGACACAGAAAGAGACACAGAGAGAGACAGAGAGAGACAGACAGAGACATGGACAGGGACAGGCAGAGAGAGAGAGAGAGAGAGAGAGAGAGAGAGAGAGAGAGAGAGAGAGAGAGAGAGAGAGAGAGAGAGAGAGAGAGAGAGAAAGAGAGAGAGAGAGAGAGAGAGAGAGAGAGAGAGAGAGAGAGACAGACAGATGGATAGATAGAGCGAGAGGGGGAGGGGAGAGATAGATAGATTGGCAGAATTTATTGCTATCCAGAGCACACGAGAAGTCCATCGAACCTTCGACTCGGTAAACCTGCAAGAAAGCACCACTCTCGTCTCAATACACAGTGTGTCGGGGAATGCACCCCTCATCAGTTGAGCTTGAGTAGGCTGAGGAAGATTGTGCTTGAAGACAACAACTTTAAATAGTGCTCTCCAGGCACAAACATCACCAGGGTTACAAACTTACAGAGCCGCTCTGTTTCCAGCGCGACAAACACCTCACGAACACCAGATAGCAGCGCGAGTCAGTGTCGCTCCTAGACGGTGAGAACAGACCTCGAGGACCCTCGGACATTCACACCGCTGTCACCTTCAAACCAGCTAGTCGCAAGCCCGCGCTGGGGACAGCAGTAGGAAATAGTGGTTGCGACTTCGGCAATGATTTGCCATTTGGCTTGGATACATAGTAGTAGCAGTGAA